TCGGAGCGCCTGACGGTGACTCGGATCTGACCAGTGATGCTCTTTTTGTTAGATAGGTAAGTACCTCTGTGTTTAGTGCTAATCTAGGTCGACGCGGAGGTGGGGCAGGTCCATTAGTGTGTTTGCGGTAGACAGCACAGCGGTGTCACTTGTAGATGCGAGCAGCCTGTGTGGACCTATGTTTAGCAGTTTGTGCATCCTGTGCTTCATCCATTGTTTGTAGTGCTAGCAGGGAGGAACGGGGGGCATGCCTCCTAGTTGTGCCCCTCTTGGGACAACTTTGAAGACATCCGACGACGATTAACAGGGACAGAGACGTGCGAGCATGGTGCGATCAGGTGGATTGGACATCTTTATTAACGGTCTTTTTTGTAATGTGGGGACCGAAGTAGTTGTGATGACTTTGTGGCACGTGTGAGGGTGTCTGACAAGACTACTTCTGACCCTGAACGTCACTTGACAGATGGAACATGCTGGCAGGGGTCGAGTGTTGGTGGCGCTGGTCGGATATACTGGACAATTCGCATGTCTTTTGGCCCCTATGCGATTAATGGCGAATATTTTTACAGCAAATTTCTGTTGACCCTGCACAATAATCTACCTGACTTGGTTTATTTGGAGACATTCTATTGTGGTCTTCTTGGTACCTTTGTGCCGTCGTTCTCGTTTGCGATACCTTTTAGTCCCAAAGTGGTATTAGTTCAAGGGGCTCTCTTAAGTATGCATCTTTCGGCCGTCGTCAAGACTTAGCTGTTCCACCACATTTAACTTTGCTTCTGAATGGCATAAATGTTGGTGTCCAGTGTCCATTCCTTCCACCTAATTCAATATCATTTAAAGACAATTTAGGTGAATGCAGTTTAGTCTTCCCATCGAACTTTGGTGAACGGAATCCTCGAATTCATGTCGAGGGAGAGATGCCGTGGCAATTCCAGACAGAGTACTTTTACCTTCCGAAGGCACGACCAACTCTAGCGGATCGGGATGCAATTTTGTCCTCGATTTTGGTAGTGTGATAAGACACCACTTTCCCTTTTCAGTCCGAGCCAAACCGACTGAAAATGAGGTGATGCGCAGTGTGGGACGCGAAAGAGTCTCAGTCTTGCATCACATCCGGCCCCTCCCACTGGACTTACCAAACTACCTCTGATTTCGACGCGTGAAGTAGTGCGCTGACTGTTGCTGGTTTGATATGAAGTTATCATACGTAAGTGCCACAAATGGCTGCTTCCGCCCCATTGCGTGGACCAGGCTGGATGCATTGCCGCCGGACCGACTGGATGCCCTCATCTGCCCTAGCCCACTATTCAAAACTGTCACTGCGTTGTGGCCCCTGTGTAGCGCGTCGTGTCACTTCTATGAGCTTTCTCCTAGTCCCTGAGCACTCAGTACGTCAGTGCGACTGAAGTGCGTCATAGTTCATCTGCACTCAACCGGTAGTAATAGAAAGCAATTAGCTAAGACATGCTTGACTGTCGTATTAGCTTTTGTTGTTGACGCCTTAACAAATACATAAGAGGGACTGACGACTGGACACCCGATTATGGCGATATCAGCTGTCGGTCATTGAAGCTTAAGCCTCGGACTGACAGCATCTCCGGCATTCGTCTAGACTCAGTCTGAATTGGCTTGACTGTAACCATTCCTCTCGCAGTTCTACGGAGGGTTCCGCAGTCTACTTGCTTTTTCAGGGCTTGTAACGACGAACATTGTGTACGTATACTTGTGGCATCTCGGATAGGGAGTGTACCTTGGCCACCACAATCATCAGATGGATGCGTGTAGCCTGTACAGAAGCTTAGAGTTGGTCAGAGCCCTCGAAGTGCGGCGTGCTCTTGGCTTGCGCGTGCGTCACCGCAAGAATTATGTGGGCGCGAATGATAAATTGTTATGTTGTCTGCCAGTGTCAGCCCGGTGGGTTAATTGGGGTTTGTCGGAGTCTGCGATTGACTGTCCCCCCAGGATGAATGTACGCGTACTCCATCCGCTTGAAAGTGACGATCACATGATTCCATGTGCAGTGTGTGTGACAGAGGCTGGAGACTCATACGCGCTTGCAACGCCATGCATGTACCAGTTGTGCTCGGAAGAGTGGTGCCTTCGACGAATTGACCGTCTCTCTGTTTCCTCTCCGGTTTACCGTAATTGCGCCTTATTTGCTGGTAAGATAGTTCCTTTTTAAGCTGCCATCTTCTAGGCTATTCGCTTTGTAAGAGTTAAACTGATCCATCCCTCTATGCTATGTCCAGAGAACCCGGTTTTGTGGGACGGCTTCAAATGGGGGCCACTGCATTTCCTGCAACAGTCCTTGTCAGATAGCCTTTTGTCTCCAAGCAGGCTTATTTCGTTCTCACGTACTTAGCTCCCCTCCCTCCCCCTCTCCAGGTAACCGCAGGTGACAGTCATAGTGCCGCCCTCGACGACGATGGCCGTGTTTGGTTGTGGGGCACCTTCCGGGGCTCTAGTGGTGTTCTGGGCCTGACGAAGGCTGCCGAGATCTGTCGAAGCCCAGTCCTCCTAAACATGCCATCCGACGTAGGTCGCGTGGTAAAGATCGCCTCCGGTCAGGATCATCTCGTCCTGCTAACAGAGGATGGGCGTCTGTTTACGATGGGCTGCGGTGAACAAGGCCAACTCGGTCGTATCGCCGAGAGATTCGCAAAGGACGGCGGACGGAATGGTCTCGGTTAGTGCTCTGCTTCATACCACCTTTTTTCTCTACCTGTTTGTCCACTCGATGGCGGTTTGGTCGGAAATTCTCACCAATTTTAGAGGTGGGATGTTTAGTACTGCAGTCAAAGGATCCCTTGAGTCAAAATGACCCATTTCAAAGTAGATTTTATTCCCTGTCTAAACGCTTGCCGCTTTGGCACCCTTGAAGGTTATTCGGACAATTATACACTCATAAACCTATTCGGTACTATGCGACGCAAGTCTGCCAGACTAACTTTGCTGTGACATCAAAGGTTGTCTTGGTGTGAATGCCCCAGGTTCATTTCGTACCGTTCGATGTAGCCTCCTCCAAGCTCAACACATCCATCATTAGCTTCCCATTGGAAGTACCCTTTGCCATCGGTTATGACGGTAGCATGACCATGACAAGTCTGATAGTAAACTCTTGAAATGCTGCGTCGAGGCCGTTGCCACCCCTAAGCAGTTGTTCCATTAGTTCTCGGGTTGGTTGCAAGGGTTGCCCTCCCAAGTCTCTAACGACAGAGTTTCAAGACATACAAAACCAGAACTCGTGCACGGTATGCTGATGTTCCCGCCCAGTGTTATGGTCGAAACGTGCTGTCCTGGCGAGTCGCTGATAGTACTTGAAGGGAAACAGAGGCTTCGGTCGCTGGGCCCTCTCCGCATTACTTCGTAAGGTCGTACTCGCCTCCAGGAGCCTTTCAAAGCCAGGGGTCACTCCAAACATAGTTGCGAAAGGTTTATAGGCTCATAGAGCCGTATGTGCTACTCCTGGTGAAGCTCCATGTACCTGAACAGCGTATCAGCAATTATGGCCAAGTTCTTCACACAGCTCTAAGTGTAAGTCCCCATTAGGTCTGACTCGACACCTACCCATCAGGTCATGTGTCCGAGGCACCCTCATTGTCACCTTCGAGGAAACTCCAGGCCATCTGTCGACAGAGACGCAGTTTCGGGGCATACTTGCGATGGTTCTTCCATGGAACTCGGCAATGACTACCACTGTCCCGTGGTGGCTTGCGTTTGGCTTTAGAGTTCCGTGAGGAAGGCGGGCGCATCATCAACTTCACCCGTCCTTGCCCCAGTACTATGACTTCCACTTCCTCGCTTGTCCTCGAGCTCACGCGAAATAGCCCTCCCACTTCAATCTCATGCCACTCAGAATCATACTATGCAGAAGTTATTAAAACCCGACTTTTGCTCCGGAGGACGGCATCGTCGCGTCATTTTGCCCTCTTCCGGGTTCGTGTGCGTCAGTTCTATTATGGCGAGGGTTACGCAGACTCGGCCTCTGCTCCCACATCCGGAGTTGCCGTCGGAGGGCAAGACGTCACCAAGACTACTATAGGGGGATTCGAACTCAGCAAGTGACCTAACATAGGGTCCCGTTTAGATGTGGTTATGTAGCCCCACCTGATGGACATAATACTGTTGGGGTTGGGATTAGGGCAACTATTTCTCAACCACTCAAAGTATAACCGCGCATTCCCAATAGCTTTTCGTTTGCATACAACTACTTGACCACATCGCCTGTGCGTTCCCGACCCCACCTGTAAAAACCCCTATTACCACCAATCCCGCATTACAGGCAGCTGGGGTTTGTTTACTTCAGGTGGGGCTACATAACCACCAAGACTACTTGATTTTCTTTTGCTGAGTCGGTTTCACCCTGGCGCCCCAATCCGGTTTTGTCCGCCATCCGAAGTGTCTGTCCGAGTGCAGCCGCTGATCTCCGCACCACTCGAGGTTCGGACCTGAATGGGATGGCCATGTGCGACGATCCATTTGGTGCAACTAAGAACCGTGTATACCTCAGCCAAGAGAGCGCAAACTCGAAATTGCTCTGTATAGGCCCTGTTGAAAGTGACAGGCGCGATCTACGCAGCCAGGGCCGTTGATTTTGAGTCCCTAAGTGATAACTGCACGGCAATGTAGCTGTAGGGGGTGTAGCTATCGTACACCCTCAGCCAGTTGCCGCATGGAGCTACCCAGGACTTACCCAGCAGTACTTCTTTGCCTAAAAAAGAACCAAACAAAAAGTGAGACTGCTTTGCTTGGCGGGCACCAAGTGGGAGCACGGAAGACCATAAAACAGCGATGGTTGACACGCCCTAGGCGTTAATTGATTACCCACACAGTCATATGATCAGCCGGCATATTTCATTAGTGTAGTTTATGTGTATCTTCTGCCAGTGGTTACGAAATACCGAATTGGTTGTCAGACTCTAAATAGACTTGTCGCCGCAGTAAACGCTCTTTTCTCTCGTTCGTTTACTACAACGGCCCTTAGATGTCGAGTGTCCTTGCCGTATCGGCAGCGCATCTTCAGGGGAGACTCAGACGTGACCATAACCCCCTGACGTCTTTCTGTTCATCTTCATCCTCCAAAATTGACCACAAGAGTCGTCAGTGACCTGCTGAATAAAGGGAAGGAAGTTCCTTCACAATGGAATTATTAGACTGTGGTACACGCTTCACGCCTAACAGACAAGTATACGAACGAACCCCGGGATTTAGCACAGAAACCGACGGGCCGCGAGAGCACAAGTCGCAATGGCACCTATATCACCTCAGTAAATATCCTAGCAGCTTCCTAGACAAGTGACTATACTAAATGCCCACGAAGACTGACTGCACTGCACGAGGGACGTTACGCAGGCCATGGCAGACATGTGGAGTTCACCCACCGGTTCTTTGACACCGGCCTGAGATCGTTATCTGTCACTTGCCTAAGGACATGTCTGGAATCATCTACCGCGTCAACGGTTTGGTACTGCAGGACTGACGACCGGTCAGGAGAGCATGCGCACGATCATGCTCCCTTGCCGTGAAGTGCAGTGACGCTCAATCGCATGCAACCACGCACACAGCCTCGAGAACAGTAATCGATTCGTCTTTGACACAGTGCACAAGTACTTGGTCGGACTGGAAGCAAAGTGGCGAGAGCGAGATGATCGATGCCCGGCACTCGAATGCCACCGGCACCGCTTTACGTGGAGCCTGTCCTAGGCACTGCCACTGCGACTTCTGGTAGCTCGGTCGCGCTGTGTTGTAGACCACTTGAAAGGCGTCCGCGGGATGGTCGATGTCAGCCGGCTAGAGCTGTTAGTTGTCTTTGTTTAATCCTTGCAGTCACGCAATCGCATGTCCTCTCACCCTTTTGAACAACTATCGTCTTTTTTTAGCCAGCGATACGTACTTCGCAGTACTAAGCGCAGTTCGTCGTCTCACCACTGCCTAGCGTTTGTGAGATCGCGTTTTTCGATAACCGTACCTCTTGTTCAGCAGTCGGTTGTACACGAGGTGCACCCAAAAACGGACCGTGCAGTTGTTTTATACCTAGCCGTAGTCCAAAGGTGCTTGGAATGCATCCAAACTCTCTGACTCGGACGGACCTGGGGCATATAGCAGCATATAAGCACTCTGGTAGCTTTGATTGTTATTGTCGGCATGTCCGAATTACGTCTCAACAGCGTCTTGCCGGACACAAAATTTGCGATGGAGACGGTAGAAAATAACCAACTGGCTTTCCTTGATGTCTGCCGCAAAGATTGTGGTGGCCCAAAGACCAAGGCGACAAATATGACGTCAAGTACTGAGCTTCAACAGCAACCACCCAATCAGCCACAAGTGCGGTTGCGTAGGAGCGCTGATACGCACTGTAGTAAACCGGAAGATAAGGTTGCCGAATTTTAGTATCTTTGACGGGTGTTCAAGGAAAATGGCCACCCGCGCGACTTTGTCAACCGCTGTATGCGCAGACGATGTGAGCGACAAAATCGCACAGACCCCAAATTTTGGCGAGCGACTCCGTGCGTCAAGGACGTCTCGGCGGCCATCAGTCGTCTTCTCGCACCACTCGGAGTTGGAGTCACACACAGACCGGAGGCAGCCATTAGGCATCAGATAATGAGTCAGAGAGACGCGCTGTCACGTCAAGGAACATCTGGAGTCGTTTGTCGGATCTGGTGCAGTTGTTGCGGGCTAATCAACTACGTCGGAAAAAACTGAAAGATTTCTCCGGACACGAACCGCCGAACACGCGGCAGCAGTGCAGGGAAATGACGCCAACTCTCAAGTCGCGGCTCATTCTACGAGACTCGGCCACACATTCAATTTCGATTAGGCCGAAATTCTCACGAGAGGTATTGTATTGTATTGTATTGTATTGTATTTTAGGGTAATAGGCAATGCCCTTGATGACCCTATTGAAAACGGTACATAAAATATAAATGTTAAATGTACATCTTACTAAAATTTTGTCAGTAACATATTTGTTCACGGGAAACTTTCACAATGCGGGACTGCTAAGCGTGCGGCAGGCGGTCTTCTCAGTGTACACATGAAATTTTAAGTGCAGTGGCAATCACGTGGGCCGCGATTTGCTTGAGTCATCGTTCACGGGAACCCCAGTCTATCAACAAGTGCGGTGGCCCTCCCACTCTATATTCGATGCGGAGACTTTGTTTGGCCAAGGGAGCGCAGGCCGGTGAGCTATCATCACGCCAACATCTAACAGGAGTGATGAAATTTCGGTAATTAACGACTTGCGTGACGGCCATCAAGCAATTACCTCACCAGAGGTCAGCCATCCTCGATGAAGGGGGGAGCCCTTAATTGTCCTAGATATGCAGCAGCGTAGCGACTGCAACTTCCTGTTTATGAATTACCCGTATCTGATAATATCACCGATGATGAGTTCAAGTGTGAATCCTGAAAGTCAGGTCCGTGTTCCGGCGATCGCATCTACTTCTCAGCAGTTAATTTACTCCACCCACAAGCCTATGAAAGCAGCTGACACCACAATCTCAGGTGTGACTTGGTATCATTAGCACACGCTCTGGCCCCGCCAGCGGTCTCTGCTACATGGCACAGCAATTCCGAGTTCTATGCCCCATAAACCTCTTCATTCTGGCGTCTTCTCTCTTATCCTGCTGGTGGAGGCTTGGCCTGATTTTTGTGGCGCCGTGAATACACTGATTGCTTAAACTTCACAACACTTTTCAGTCCCCCCCTCCCCCCCGGAAGAAGTGCCGGGATTCGTCCCTTGTAACAGAGGGAATGACGTGCTCGAAATGCCTCCACCGGTTTTTCCCTTGCCGATTCACCCGGCTTGTCGCATGAAATAGGTAGTTCGCTAAAGAACTCTGCGCTTCTCGTCTCTCTGTCTTTCAAGTGTATACTTTTAGTCACCAGATTTTGTGAATTTTTTCATAGAGATCCGACATCCGTTATCGCCGGCGTCCCCTACATTGCCGGACTCTGGCACTCGTTTTTTTTCCTTGTATCATGCTTTTTTTCTGGTCCCTCTGTCCAGACCTGCTTCTCCAACCGGCCGAATGCCGACTGCGTGGCGCAGTGCGTTTCCTCGATGTCTGGGCCGGAGGTTTCGCCACCATTGCCCGCAGCCTTCCATCCGGTGTCATTTACGCCTGTGGTCTCAACAACTACGGTCAGCTGGCTCTTGTCCCGGCAGCCACCGGCACCACGCGCCTCGAGTCTGAGAAACCGCAGCCAGCCTCCGAGCCGGCTGTTGAAGCCGAGGGTAATGCCGCCGCCGGCGCTGAAGTCAGTCCTCAGACCCTCTCAGAGTCCATGCTGCTGAAGAAACAGGGCCCTCTGGTCCAGTTCATGCTCACACCCGCACTGGGCTTCGATCCCTCCAAAGACTGGCAGCAGTTCGCTATCAGTATGCATCACACTATCGCTCTCACAGCTTCAGGTTAGTGCTGCCCATCTGACATGCCTCTTGGAAACATTGCCATGCCATTTTGAACATCGTCTGTAGCACAGAATATAACACTGGCTTCCGATTAAACCATTTCTTCCTAAGACAAGGCCCTAGCTGCTAGGGATCGCTATGTAATACTGCATTGCCTTGCAGTTATTAGCTTTTAATCCAGCAACATCAATCCGTTGGCTGACGCATCCATGAGAAGGGGGGTTTTGAAGAGGGAATGGGCTTGTGGAGCTGGTTTACTCGCTCCTCGAGCAGTCTTTTCCGCCACCCCCTCTTTAGAGGACCTCTACAGGAATCCGATAATAAGGACACAATGGGACCTTTCATTACTACAAATGTAAGGTTGAGGACGCAGCCCTCGAGAGCTTAAAATCTCTTCAGTCCCTCCGCTGCAGTTACATTTGGGTCGCAGTCGCTAATTCCACTGTCCGCTTGTTAAATTGCCGTTCGGACAAAGCAGCCCATCCAGACCCTTTTTCAGTGGTAGTGGGTTTTTAGAGCCAAACATCCGTCACAAATGGAGGTCGATGTGCGAGTCCCGGGTTCTCACTGCAACAGAAGGCAGTCACTCAATGAAGGAGTCGTTCTCGAGGCATGCATGTTGTCCTTATTGTGGATTTGATCCTTCTAATAAAGGGTTCTGTCGACAGTACAGGAACATTTTCCAATATACTGAGTCACTCCCATTTATTTGTTTTTAAATTCTTTTCCCCCTAAGGTGAAGTCTACGCCGTTGGGCGGAGCGACTACGGTCGTCTGGGATTTCCTGTGCCGTCATCAGTAGACAGTTCCGCGGTCCCATTGCCTCATCTTGTCCAGGGTGGTCTGGCGGGTCGCGAGTGCCAGTGGGTTGCCTGCGGCGAGTCCTGTTCCTTTGCTGTGGACAACAAAGGCAAGTGTCCCCTCTTTGAGATGCCCGTTTTCACCCCCCTCCCCTCCCCCCCCCCCGTCAGGGCTGTCTGGCCCCTGTTCAGAAGGAGACCAATCCTCTGAAAAGTGCTCTCAAGTCTGAATCCTCCTCTCTAAGTAGCAACCGTTTTGCATGTTTCAGGTGTTGCCTTCTCGTGGGGAATGGGAAGCAGTCAGCAGTTGGCACAGGCGGATGAAGACGAGGATGTGCCGGAGCCGGCCCCGATGTTGGGCAAAAATCTTGCCAATCGGTGAGTCCATATAAAATGCCTGTGTCACTATGCGTCCCTCTTGGGTTCTGTGTGTGTTCTTGTCTGCAACCGGCGGTGGCGAACTGATCGCCGTGTGTGAGTTATCCTCGTCTCCCCCCTTCCCTATCCCCCCCCCCCCAATGCCCACCAGGTCTCACTGCTGTGGTGTTGAGCTGCAAGGATGCCCCGTTTGCGCACCAGTACTGCCACTTGATGCAGTATTCACTCGCATGCTCCCCGTGTGACTGGTTACTCAGCGCAGTCAGTTTGAAGGCTGAATATGGGGGGGGGGGGGGAGATCATCGAGCCAGTAGGTGGACCGCGGGCTAACGAACCATGAATCCAGTAGGTTGCAGCTCATGCTAGAGTTTCGGCCTCTTCTAGCTCGTAGGTGTGGTGGGATCCCGTCGAGTGAGTTGGGACTTGAGAACTTACGTCATTACTGCTGATGCTTGTTCGGAGATCTGTGCGGGGAGTAATATCCCAGTTTATCTGACGTAGTTCCTTTGTCCACAGCTAAACCAGGTGCATCGAAGGACTCCAGACGTGTCCTGCTGTGTCAGCGGGGAGCAAAACCGAGGCCGACACCGACCTCATTATACACTTGAAATTGTCCCAGCCCGCCCCTTCGTAGCTCCGATAGCCGTCAGCTGACAGGATAACTTGTTCCTCTGTTGGGGTGGGGGGTTAGCTTGTGAAATTGGCCTATGTGGGATCAGAGATCCCGTCACTCATGCCTGATACTTGTGAATTTGACGACTAGGCCATGTGTGATGTGCAAGGCTTCTAGACTTTGCTAAAAGGAGCGGCTAGACTAAATCCGATCGGGAATATTTCCGCGGATGAGACCCGCTGTATCCAGCTCACACCATCCCAGATTGCGAGACTAACGCGGTTAGTTGAACTGTGGGCTGTCGGGTGGGTCCAAAAATGACAATTTGTGGAGTAGATGTTAATTAGGCAGCCGGACCTATGAAGTGCCTGGGAAGTTGCGGTCAATGCGCTCTGTCTATGTGCCCAAAAAGGCAATTTTCTTACCGACATCAGCCCGCGTTTCTGCCCCTTATAACATCCGAGTGGGTACTTATTAACGCTGTGGGCACTAGTTGGAGCCTTTGCTTTTGACAAACCTCTGCAAATTGCGTTTTGATTTTGACCAAATTGTCAATATTTGAAACAACAACCAACCAATTCCTGAAAATATGTGTTTTTAGTACACTTGCTTGAGTGCCGCTTTGTGTAATTTGATGGCCGATATCTCGGCAATTCGCCTCGATCTCGGCAAGCCTTTTGATTACCCGCTATTGCAGCCGATCCACTTACAATATGACGCTAGTTGCCGCAGAAAATTTGCAGTTGTAGTCACCGCAAGCTGCCTCGAGGTGCCTACAGCCACCGCTGCTTCTGATAACTATGCTCTCGATTGTGCTGGTACTAGCAGTGCGATTGTGGCCTCTTCCGTTTCCGATCCCCTGTCTGTGGGCTCACTTAAGTGTGGATTCGGCGCGTACCAAGCTTCCCACTTACAAGGCGCACATTCGGCCACATAACCTGCCACCCACATTTCATGCGCTCAAACTACTTACAACTAGCTAGTAACCGTTAATTATCGCTATTTTTTCGGCTAGTTGGCAACTGCCCGCTTTTCACATGCAATTATATACAAAATCTCTTTCAACTTTCCACTTATCAGTGTTCTTTTTAAAAGATTTGTAACTAATAGGGAGTTCAAAGGCGCTCACCTATATTTCCTGTTATATCCCCAATTAGTATAACGCCAGTTCTGTGCGAAATAGAAGACAGACAGGATAGGAAAGAACAGCTTTACTGTGTCAGTCACTCTGTGTACATCAACTCTTAATCCTTCCGTCCGTGGCTTCGTATTTAAGGGTTCAGCCCTTGTCTGGTTTGCGTGTTCCTACTGGTCCAGTCTTGAGCGCCCGCATGGGCAGGCCCTCGCGTGTTGCTGGCCCCTGGAGGTCGCGCATGACTCAGCGGCGTGCTAATGTCTGGCTCGCATGCGGGCTTCTTAGGCGAGGCTGTCCGACGAGTTTGCGGTTCTTTGTCAGGCGCGACCCCCGGAAGACAGAAACGGTGCGTCGTGTTCTGGGCCGTCCTAACATTTCCCTTAATAAAACTGAACTGAATGTTTTCATCTGTTTTCCTAGGAAAACGCTGATGATTGATGCCGGCGGTCAGCACACCGTTCTTCTTGCCCAGGACCCCTCAAGAAATCCTCCTCTTGCAGATTCCAAGGAGTCGACTCAAAAGGAGGTCATATCAGCATCTGAACCGGGTCCCATGGACGTTTCCGAAGACCCAGAGGTCCTATCTAAGCTTCCAAAGGAGACCACGCAGGAAGATGCCGGTGACCAGGCTCATCTAATCTCTGATGATGTCCCGATGGCCAAGATCCCAAAACTGGACTCTGATTACAAGGAATCACTCCCCGCAGACGACATTGAAATGGCGCAGCCGATAGCAGCTACCGGAAAAGTAGCAATGGTGACCCCCTCAGACCTGCTGACTTCTGTCACCTCCACCCTGCCGATCGATGTTCGCAGCGTGGACAGCAGTGCCCTGGCAAGTACGGCCGGTGCCACAGTGAACACCAGCTCCCTGCGCAGCTGCTCCATCACGAGCAGCTCGCAGCCGCCATCCTGTGATGCGGTGAGCAGTTGTAGTAGCAATGCTAGCGCGGAGTCCGGTGTGGTCAGTAGCACTCACAGCACCGACGGTGGGGGTTCCAGTCGTCTGAGTTCTCTCGGTGGCGCATCAGTGCAGAGCAGTCTCTTGGCAGCTGCGGCGGCGGCGGCCGCCGCAGCATCAACGGCGGCTGTTGGTGGTGGCGGTGGCCAAGAGGCTGAGAGCACTCGTCAGCCTGACGAGACGCGACGTCCTGGGCCACCGCCCGGGTTCCCCGTCCAGGCAGCTGCAGCGACAACCCGTGGAGCGTGCGGAATGAGTATCTGCAGTACAAGCAGTGAGCCGGGTGGCTTCCCCACGGACACCACTACGTCGCTGGGCTCTGTCACCGCCTCTCCGATAGATATGACTAACGGAGAAACTGGAACCGGTGGCGCCGTCTAGTTCCGCCGGCTTTCCCCTGCCTTACATCCAGCACACTCCCTGCACTGAACTTCCTTTGTGTAAACTTGTCTTATTTTATCACCTTTGTAGAAGCTTGACCCAAACTGAACCACTCTTACTCCTCCCCCTCCCCCCACTACTCTCTTCTGACGTCTTCATGGAGACCACCCCTCATCCCGATGGCAGCTATATAATCGCAAACATACGCACGCAGACGCTTATATTTGGCCGTTTTCTGACGAGGCATACTGTAGCGCCTTTTGGTGTTAGCTTTTTTCTTTTTTTGCAAAGGAGCCTTGATTTTTGCGCCGTCACTTTTGTTCTGGGGGCGGGTGGCTCAATCTGTTGCGTCCTGTGTGGTGTGCGTCGTGGTTGGGATTTCTGCTCCATGTTGACGGGCTGTTATTTAACAGCAAACCTCCGCAGTCGTCAATGCCTTCGCTCTCTCTTTGCTACTGCCCGCCTAACTCGATTGGGTTTATCAGCGCGCCAAAGTGGACCTCGTTTTGAAGAAGACACGATCGCCGGAACGGGAACTTTATTAGCCTGACGTTTCGGATTCCTGCTCAAGTCCATCATCAGAGACGAAAGCAGATAAGGGTGGTTCATGCATATGGGGCTGCAGTACTTATAGGATGCAGTAGCCATGCTACCGCATACCTATGAATATTCACGGCTCCCCCCCCCCTCATTAGGGATCGTTGCACGTGGCGTGATGGCCGATATTCGCGTCGTTAATTACTGCAATTTCATAACGTGCGTTGGATGTTGGTGTGATAATTGCTCGACCATCTGACGCGCTGATCCGGGTGTTGGGAAGAGTGTTCACCAGCGCGATCCCCGCGTAGCCAATTACTCCGCCTAGGCGAAGTCTCAGCACGGACTATTGAATGGGAAGATCATTGCACTTGTTAATATACTAGGGGCCAGTAAACCGTGACTCAAGCAGCTCACGCGGTTGTCGCCTCTTGCGATAATTTCGGCCTCGTCGAATTCGAATGTGTGGCCGGAACCCGTTGAATGAGCCGCAACTTGAGAGCTAGCGTCGTTTCTCCTCACCACTTCAGCGTGTTCGGCCATTCGCGTTTGGAATTGTCTTCCAGTTTCTCCGACGTAGTTGCTTTGTCTGCAACTGCACCAGATCCGATAAACGACTCCAGACGTTTCTTGTGGTGGCAGTGGGTCTTTCGGTTTCATTAACTGACGCCTGATGGACCTCGTTTCTCTGCCGCCGCCGCTCTTCTCATCGACACCGGAATTTTGAAATCTATAACTCTGCAACCTGCCATTCCTGCATTCAAAACTCTGCGACTGACCCTTGACGACCTCCCGCTGTGGCCAGACGCGGCCTGATCGACGTGTCTCTTTTTACTAGCCTGGACGGTGAGCCATTTACTTCCTGCACAGAAACAGCTCTAGGAGCCCAGTCGTGTAGAACAGACGCGAGGGTCGGAGCATATTCACCGCAAACAGAGCTCCTGGGTATGGTAGAGGGTACTTGTTATCACTGAGCAACGCTGCCTAAACTAGAAGATGCAGTTTCTGAGTCAAGTGTCAATAGCTCTTCGATCTTATTACGACCGCCAAGGAAATATCGCGACTATCTTCTCTGCATCGACTTGAGGCCCTTTGCTGGCCACCTCAACTTCTGGTAACTAGGTCGGGCTGAAGCACTTCCTGCCCTCAAGTTCCCAGTCATCTGGTTCACACCTTGGGCTGCTGCGTCCGCGAATGTCGGTGCATCTGATGATGAACGTGGAAACTGCCAGCAAATGCCGTGGAACTGGTTGTTTGGACCAGTTGTGCGTATACAGACTTACAATCCCTCGGGGTGCATTGAGGTCCGCCAGTGTACGAGGGTTTGTCGGTTGTGACCAACTAGCTGCGAAGGCGTCAATTAGTCCAGAACTACTCTTATTCTCCCCCCCTTACGCCACCGAGTGGGGCGTTGTGGAACATTTCCCCCGTCATAGTGTACTAAAAACAGCATCCGAGCCCGAAAAGCTACGTCCGTGGCTATCACGATTTTGCTTAAATACGAGAAACAGGCCATAGACTGATCGTTTCTGGTATGACACGGGGGGTGACGCTAGGTTTGAGAGACGTAGCGCTCGCTCTACGTAACGTTGAACCGGTTGTCTTTAATCTTGTTCTTCCACACGCACCGCTGTTAACAACGACCACAAACTCCGGTGCAAAAGTTGCGCGAGGCAGTTGACAATTCAAGACATCCTCTTCCCTTAGTTGAGTTTGTATCATCGATTTTCGGGCTCATCCTGGACCTTGGCCTGTTCATTACTTTTAGCTGTTCCACTTGACTGCAGCCGACGCGGCTTGGTCAGTATTGTTAGACCGTGTCATCTAACAAGCAAGACTAGGATCCACCGTTCAGGTTACAAGTCGAAGAAGTGTAGCCAGGCCAGCCCATCAACTAACCATTCAGCTGTCGATCCGGCGATCAACTAGTTCCCGTCAAAATCGACTGACCACTGAGATTAAGCTTAGTGATTGCAAACCCACCATCATCCCTGAGGTCTGGCTTGGATGCTGCATCACATGGTCGGTACCTTTATTCTCCCAAGTCTTGCGTTGTTACCTGATCCAGCTAGGTCGGGCTCTGAGTTAAAAATGATGCAGTCCCCACGGCGGCACCCAGTGTGAGTATTACCTTGTGGGCTTTGCAGATGCAGGTAACCAACCTGGCTGCCCCGATTCAGCGCACAATTTAGTACAACAGACCCAAGAATCTGAAATTTCACACAGTCAGTATGTATATCCAGGAATCTCTTTCAGCTTCTAGGAAGATTTTGAACCTTTTACTACATGGTAATGTACGGCAGTGATCAAGACTGCACGAGCTAAACAACCTTAACAGGGGCTGTTTCTGGATCGACTTGCTCTTAGATTTCTGGTAGTATGGCTCAAACCACTGATGGGGTTTTTCCGTGCAACTGCCATTTCAAAGTCAGTTCTCATAATGCCCCCTGCCTTGCTACTTGGATAATTTCAGTAGTTTGAAATATATGAATTGTCGCGCTTTGGACACCAACAGACCACCGTAATGACTATGCAATAGCTAACATGGGCACAAGGTTTTGACAAGGACTATCTCCATGTAAAATTTGCTTGGAAAAGAGGACAGACTGCACACATACAAAAGATAATGGATCCAGCGCATACGTTACGCCTAAAGCTATCAGATGCAGTTACTTTCAGTCGAAGAAGGTGAGGTTCCGGAGGTACTTATGACGCCCGAACCCGCCTCTGGTCCTCCGGGGCAGAAACGAGTGTGGTAGGTGCTGAGCAAGCCTGCCACACTATAAGCTGACTTTAGCTTTAGGAGACGCCCTACTAGAGGCGCACGTACTAGCTACAATCCCAGACACGCGTGTTTCGACGGTATTCTGCCGCTGCATGGCATAGCTGCGAAGAGTCCGGCTTTTCAATGGGTCCCCAAGCATTCATAAATTCAATTCCAGTCTGCACCTATAGACTCTAGTATAAACTGATCTACCCCAAGTTAACAGTTAATTTTTAAGGAAACTAAAAAGCAACCATAAACTGATTGCTGACAAAGAGAAGGGAGGCTGAAATGGCCATTTTTGGCTGAGTAGCCGTCATAGCCCAGCCATATCCAATCACGGTTTTTCGCAACACCTAGCAAACGGAATGCGAGTTCGAGCCTCGTGAGTCCCGAAAACCCTGAATTTAATATGGCTGGCTAATGATGACCAATAAATCAGAAATATCAAGTTGGCGAACACGCGTTTTCTGTAATTCTTCCTCAGGCCAATGCAATTACATGAAGGAATGAAAATGTACAAAATCAACAGTGTTTATAAGTGTCTCCAGGTGCTATTAAGTAATTAACACTCATCTTCCCCACGCCGCCCGCATGATGAGGTCGGCGGGTGTTGGTCCTCAGAGCTATGGGAGGGGGCGGCATGTCCTCATCACTTGGGGTTGGCGTTGGTCACGGCAGAGAGAGCGCTTGTGTCAGGGTTTTCGGACAGCATAACACCGGATTCGCTAGTCGTATAGCTACTGCCTCGGCCGTTGCTAGTATCCGTTGGCGTAGGCCTTTAAAGAAAC